CATGCTTTATAAAGAAGAAAGAGTGAAATGTGAAGGTTACAAGGAGTTAATTTCATCATGGATAAAACATTCCTAACATTAACTATTCTGTGAATGCTTCCACTGAAAAGGGTTGTTTGTTTGGTTTGGTTTGGTTTTTTTTAAATAAAAGGAGTAGGAACTACATGAGTAATTTCACTGACTTCAGTTTTTCTGACTTTAGCGATCAAAATGATCTTAACTGCTGTTTTGATGCATAAAACACTTTACAGCTTTAATTTTGGATGTGAAGTAAGGGGACATACGTTGTATGGATGAGTGAGACCTTTGTTGGTTAAACTAGCAAAAAGGCTTCATACACATGAATAAGTTGAAAGGTAGGTGACTTGTTTCTGAGATCCTAGAATCATCACTTGAGTTCTCATATAAGCCTTCATTCCGAGTTGTTCTTGAGAAAATGGCACGAAAAGAGTCTTGAATCTACCAGTATCTGCAAAATTTTTCAGTGTTATAGAAAATGGACCATCAGAAGTCATAGACTTGTATGCTACTAGCACACCTAGGAAGTGGTGAAAATCCAACATACGTTAATTTTTTTTTTGCCTTCTTAAAAATTCTGTCTCCTGAGATTTGGGGATGTTCTGTTGGTATCAGAGGTGTAGAAGCTTATGTACCCAGGGAATGCTAAATCAAATCTGGATGGCAGAAAGGAATTTGTTCATGTCAATACCATTTTGACTAGGACTAATCGCCTTTCCTTCTCTTCCCCCCACCCCCGTGCCCCGGAAATGTTGTTCAACTCTTAATCACTGGAGTTATATTTGTCTAGTAGTTTCTTAGGGGGGAGGCTTGTGTTTTAGAGATTTTTATTTTTTGCTAATTACAGAGTATTGTGGGGGGGGACGGGGATGGAAGTCAGTCTCTCTGATTTAAAACTTTTGCACCTTTAAAAAAAAAATAAAATAAAATAAAAGGGACATCAGATTTTGATGCAGCCCTGCTATTTAGATGATTGCACAAGAATTTTAGAAAATTGTACTTGTGCCATTTTTTCTTTTCAGTTTGTATAGGGAAAACTTAAGCAGCAAGTGATTTATTTTGTTTTTTGTCTCTTCTTCCTTCCTTCACTAGTTTTATAACTTCTGAGATGCTGGTTTTTCTCTGAGTCTGATCTTCTCTCTCTTTGTGAAGGGTAATTGTTTGTTTATTAAAAGCCACTTAATTTTAACTGAAGGAACAAGGATGTTGAATCTTTAACAAAGACTCCAGAATATCAGAATGTTTGTTAACTGTTCAAGGTAAATAGGTATTGATGGAAACAAATAGTTTTGAACAGTTTAATTTAAAATTCTTCCTATCTTAACTTTAATCTTGCAATGTGATGTCACAGTTGGATTAACTTGTAGTCTTTTAGTTTAGGACCCGAGTGTCAAATAAACAAAACCAAGCAGATTTATATTTTATTACAATTTTTTTTATGATTGTATCATAAAGAAGCAAAACAGGATAGAAGCCAGATTTTTTTTTCTTTTCCATCCATATGACTGTTAGGAATGGGTGACTTTAATGTAGAACTGGATAAAATTAAAGATAAATTAAATGGTTTGCTTTGCCACAAAAATCAATTCTGTCATCTTGACAGTGAAAGGTGCAGAGAAATGCAGTAGCTGCATTGTAAATAGCAAACTTGAATGTAAGGGGGGGGGATTGTATTTTGCTTACTTGCATAAAGTCCCTGTTGGAAGTGGACTGAAGTTGTCTTGCATTGCATCTAGTGCTCTGGACATGAGGCATCAGTCAGATGCTGCGGACTGTCCCACTGAATTGGAGGCAGTTTTTCTTTTTCTGTTGTTGAAAGCTCCCTCTGCTGGCATATTTTGTTGAACCAAGTATCTTTCTCAGCCTTTTTCCAAGAGAACAGTTTTGTTTTTCCCCTGTTCTTTTTAAGGCAGCCTCTGCAAGGATTTTTTTCCTCTGGAAAATCAGTTTCCCTTGTTTCTTTTCCTCCCCTTGCATCCTCTCCCTTCCACACCATTATTTTCTGTTCAGCTCAACCTTAATCAGGAAAGGAAAAGCTGTGAACTTCTAGTGTAGTGTTATATCCCAAACCTTTTGCAGTTCTTGAGTGAATCCCAACAGCAGCATAAGACTCTTGCTCCCGCTTCTGCACTCATGAAAGAAATATAGCTGGAGTGGAGCACACTTTCCTTCTATGCCAAAATTCCCTCTGCCTCATGTTTTGATTCAGCCTCAGATGCAGGCTGGCCCTCTTTCTTCAACATCACCACCATCTTTCCATTGTGACCCAGTCCTCCGTTTTGCTGACACGGTCTTGTATCAACTTGTGATTTATAAACACTGTCAGTGTTCTCCCCAACAGAACCTCCACTGTCACAAAGCCCACGAGCAAGTTTGGTTTAAGGAAAACTCATTTGGTCCCATACTGGTAGTCAGAACCTAGTGGCTTGAAGTAACACTCTGCTTTCCTGTAAAATTGGTCTCTCTGATTTTTACCTGTCAAAGAGGTTTTATTTTTCTTATGAATCTACAGTAGCTACTTCATGCAGCATGTCTGCATACGGCTCTGACCTTAGTCAGACCTGGAAATACAAAAATAAATGTTAGGTTGTTATAGATTTGAGCATCAAGACAGAGGAGAATGATGACCAAGAGCAGTTGTGGCCTTAAAAGGCCCTTCTACATGTGCAGATAAAGGCACGATGAGATCTAATGCTCAATCCACAAAATTGCACCTCCTGCAGGAGGCATGATCTTGGGATCACACATTAAATCCCATTGCGTCTTATTGCCAGTACAACAGTATTGTTATTTATGTATACAAATAATGCCTTGTTCAAGAAGCACTTTTGGAATTCTGCATATTCCATGATCAGGAGCTCTACACAGAGCCAGCTAGGATGGGGATTGCAGGAGTAGATGTTTTTCTTGGATATAAGTTCTAGAACAACCACAGCTATTAAACTTGAAGCAGTAATTAACTGATGGAGATCTTATGGCTTGTGTTATGCAAGAAGACTAGATGGTCACAGTGATCCCTTGTAGCTTTAAAAATGTACAAACCTAGACCAGCAGGAACAGAAGGCTTGACACGAGCATCAGTCTTCCCTTCTACAGTATTTTAGCGCAGATGTAATTCTTGGAACAGGATCAGCTGTGCTGCAATATGTCACAGTACAGCTGATCTACTTTAGTGGTGCTTTCACTGAGGCTGTTGTCCTGCAGGAAGCCTCAGGTGCAAAAGAGGTGTGATCTTGCATGAAAATAGCTCTGGGTGCTGCACCTGTAAGGGGTTGCGCATCTGCAGGTAGGGGAAACCTCTGCTTGAAGATGCACATCCCATATTGGGCTGTGGCAGCATTGTGTGTGCTGTGGGAATCTTCCTTTGGGAGGGATTCCCACAGTATGCATTCTCAAGCTGGGGGGGGGGAACTCCCATAGGGATTTGGGGCATGGCAGTAAACTATACATTGGGGGAATCTCCCTGCAAGGGATTTCCATACTGTTCCTGTCACACCGCCACTCCCCAACTTGGGGTGCACATCTGCAAGCAGGGGAACCCATGTTTGTGGACATGGCCGTGTGTTCAGGGAAAGGCAAACAAAGCCTCATAGGATTAGGCTCCTGAAGTGACAGGCTCCTGCCAGAGCATCTAGAGAGGCACTCTCATGCCATAAGTGAACAGACATTGGCCACAAAAAGAGAGCACAAATTGTGACTAGGGTCATTGCCATTGCAAAATTTGGGCATTTGTGTCTGTTTCCTTGGGTTTTGTACCACCATAAAAATTTGTATGGCAGGACAGTGGGGGCATCTGTTTAAAGTATCAGTGTAGTAGAAATGAACTGATTATGTACTTTCCATTTGTATTTTTGCTGGGTATGTGATGTCTTCAGTGTAAACTTGCACTTGCAACATACAGCTGCTTTACCCTGCTGATTTGGGTATTGTTGACTCTAAAATGAGTTCAGTTATGAGTCTTAAGAGGTGATGTTGTTAGCTGTAACATGCAAGCTTAGTTCAACGTCTCCTGTTTTGTTATTCTCTTGGGAATAATGGAGGAAGCTTGAAATGACTAATTTTGGAGTGAATATAACATTTGTTGTTCTGTGAGAGAATATTTTTAGAATGCTTGGCACTGCTTTGGTTAGCAGAAAAACAATGGAAGACCACAAATTGTGGAAAAGGAATATTCACGTTCACAAAAATTGTAAGCAGTCATATTAGTTTTCAGCGTAATATTTGGGGATTTTCTTGGAACAGAGGTCCTATGAGAGAATAGGATTCTTAACCGCTTTTGCTCTGAATTTTGGAGGCCACTAAACACTTTATAAAACATCCTCTAGCATTGTTGGTTCCCAAATTTATTCTTACAAACAGGGTGTTCGTGTGATGTTTAAGCTTGAGCAGCGTTGCATGAAAAAAGGTTTTGCAAATTAAGATATACAAAGGAAAAAAATAACTGATAGCTATTTAGATTACAGTAAAAGTTCTGTTATCTGGCATCCATGGGAAATGGGGGGTGCCGGTTATTCAAGTATGCCGGTTATCTGAGAGTTATACTTGTCTCCAGCCTAGTGGGTTGGAGGTACCTTTGCCTGTTAGGGCTGCCGCCCCTTCTGCCACGTCCAGTGCACCTGGGCTTTCACTCGCTGGCGTCATTGTGCCAGGGGACTGGGAGGGGGGCCCTGTGCAGGCTGCTTTGCCCCAGGCCGTGGTCCACGAGAAAGAAGTGGGACTTGGCTCGTGGCAGCGAAACCAGAAGTGCCATGTTGGGACAGATGCCAGTTAATAGATCATTCCAGATGGTAACGTGCCGGATAACACAGCTTTTACTGTATATAGTATTAGTTGGGCTAAATACTAGTTTTTACAATATGATGCATTTTTTAGGCATTAGTTAAAATAGTTTGTCTTACAAAGAATCCTTATCCAAGCAAGAATTTTTAAAGACTTTTAATTTAATTAAATTTCAAAGTTCATAAAGATGCATATGACTTCAGTTTGCAGTTAACATGTTTCGAACATTACCGCCATCTTCCAATCCAACGGGAGCAGAATTTGATCCAGAAGAAGATGAACCAACTCTAGAAGCTGCCTGGCCTCACCTACAGGTATATAGCAATCTCCTCAATAATAAAATTATTTCAGAATATTATTAGACGTGTCTTCTTCCTAATATTTGTTAAAAACACTAGCTTAATTGTGTTAGGCTTTTAAAGCTGGTTCTAAGATTACAACAAGAAAGATTGACAATATTAGGAACAACTTTCAAACACTGAAGGTTAGCAGTTACTGGAACAGATTGCCTGAGAGTTCGCATAATCTCCATCACTGAAAGTTAAGTGAAGTTTGGAGAAGTATTTAGTTGGGGTGGTTTTAACAGAGTGAAATAACCTCTAAGTCTCACCCAGCTCTGTTTTTTCTTTTATGATTCTAATTGAATTATAAAATCATTAAAAACTATATAAATAACTTGGGAAGGGGGAACTTTAAATAGATATTTATTTATTTATCAGTACTATTCATGTTTATATTTTGTCATAACTGTGATCAAGTTTGATCTTTCGGTTGCTCAAAAAAACATGGGTGCAAAATAGATTTTTCAAGCTATGCATTGTGGGACACTCTGCATGTCAGATTAGATTTTGTTGGCCCAGAACAGTGATTCTCATCCGGGATGTCATGAGCTCCTATTAAGGATGTCATGCCACCTAGCCCCTATGTGAGGAGTTAAATCATCTCCTGCTCCAGTCTGGCACCCTGTGCCTGCCCCAGCTACCTCCAGCAGCCCTGACAGCTGTTCCTGGAAGGGCTGCCACCAGTGCTGACCTCCATGCTGTCCCCTGCCTCTCAGCAGCCCATGTGCTGGCTCACAGCAGCACACACTGTTGCTAGTGGGCAGGGAGACATGGGTTAGAGTTGTACTTTGCAGCCCAGCTCATCTGCCCTGTTCCTTTTGTGCTCCTACGACTGACAAGAGGAGCTGTTGGGGTGGTTGCCACCATGTGAGAAATGGGAACAGCAGCTTTGGTGATTGGGGGAGGGAGGGATGATACCCTTACCCTTGCCCTTACCCCTCAGATGGGGACAGTGGGCAAGGAGGGGGTAGGTAGTGGAAAGAGCAGAGCATGGCAGGGTTTGATTTTAGCCTTGCTGTCCTCACCTGGTACCAACCAAATTGGTGATATTTAACCTTTATAACCTCAAGGCTGCTGTAATAGGGAGCCAGAGAGTTCCTGTTACTTTGAGGGAGCTGCAGCAAACTAAGCTGGCCCTGGGCAGGCTGGTGGCTAATGCACAGGTTTGTAAACCAGCTGCCGACTAACAGGCAGACCTGTAGCCCTGAGGCAAGGGCTTTGCCCTCCCAAGGAGACCGTCACAGAGTAGTACATTGCAAACAGGGCCGGTCTGTTGGCAGCCCAGAGCTGCAGTCAGCTGAGCTAGGCCCCAACAGGGAAGCCCTTCACTTATGTAGACATTTGAGAAATGGTAAAAACAGCAGTCTTAAGCTATTGTTTGTTTTTGAGTGTTGTCAGTTCTCATTTTACTGCTAACTATTCTATATTCTGTTTTTTAAAAAAAAACTAATGTTATTTCTTTGTGGATTTTTTTTTTTCAGCTTGTTTATGAATTTTTCTTAAGGTTTTTAGAATCTCCAGATTTCCAACCTAACATAGCTAAGAAATATATTGATCAGAAGTTTGTATTGCAGGTGAGGTAAACATAAACATTTTTTTAAAACTTTTAAAGCCAAATTCATTTAAAACACAGTAAATGCGAGTAAAGTGACCTTTTTTTTTTTCTTCACAGCTTTTAGAGCTCTTTGACAGCGAAGATCCCCGTGAAAGAGATTTTCTTAAGACTACTCTTCACAGAATATATGGGAAATTTTTAGGCCTAAGAGCTTACATCAGGAAACAAATTAATAATATATTTTATAGGTATGTCAACATCTTAATATTTTTGTGTGCATTATCAGTTATAGCAGTGGTTCTTGACCTTTTTAAACTCCAGGCCCCCCTTCCATAACAATTGTGAATTGAACGACCCCATTTCAAAAATGAATATACTTTTATATAGTGTTTACCTCCTTGCACAGGGACGAGGCAGTACAGGTTGGGGAAGGTACAGCGAGGCAGGCGGTAGGGATGAAGAAGCAGTCATGGAAGGGATAAGCCTGAGCTTGTGCTTATTGCATATTAGGGGTGTGCGAAAAGGGCCGTTTTTTATTTGGATTCAGATTCAGCCCAAATCAGGGGGCAATGATTCAGTTCATTGATTCAGATCACTGTCCTGATTTCAGTTTGTCCAAATCTAAAGATGTGATACTGATTCAGAGAATCAGTGATACGGCCCTAGACACACCTTTAAGTGTTTTTTCTGCGTACCTCGAGGTACTAGGTGCGGCTTGTGAACGCTGCAATGGTGAGGTGGATGGAGAGGATGGATCGTGGTAGCGGACCCAGAAGTGGACCCGAAGTACTTCCAGTCCACTTCTGGGTCTACTTCTGAGTGTGCAGAGGACACTTTTGCGCCCCCCTAGCCACAGGGGGACCCCAGATGCCCCCCCAGACCCAGGAGGCACCAGTCGCCGAGCCGGGGGGCTGGGGAGAGAATCCCTTATTCGCTCCACAGCAGACCCAGAAGTGGACCGGAAGTACTTCTGGTCCACTTCCGGGTCTGCTGCCAAGCGTGCTGAGGCCGCGCCCCCGCCCCCCATGCTCCTGTGGGACACTTCATCCGCCCCATTGTCACAGCATTCATGAGCCGCCTGGTACCTTGAGGTATGTAGAAAAAACATTTAAAGCTGTGTCTATGTCCAAATCATCGAATCTTTCCAAACTGATTTGGAGGGTTCTGATTCAAGTCGGAGAGATTTAAAGGGTCTCCTGATTCTATTTGGATTCAAGAGATTTGGCTGCCGTATTGGGCCAGAACTCCACCGAATCGAATCAGCAACTGAAGCTTTGCACAGCCCTATTGCACATCTCCTCACACTTTGTAACAGCTTTCAAAGGATCTTGTGGCATGCCAGAGTGCTAACGCCCTAGTTAAGAGTTACTAAGGTACAGTATTTTAGAGTTTTTGGTCACATATTTGCAAAATATCATACTAACTTGGAAGAGAGATTTACACGTGATACGATTGGCACCAGTTTAGCTAAGCTGTGGTCCAGGAAATCCAAATAGGGGAAGTTAGCACATTGTAAACTATGATGCTGGAGTTCAGGTTCATTTTAAGTTCTGCCTTTAGATCAATATCTTGACTTTTATAAAGGTCTTTTTTAACAGATAGTTTGTTTGGATGTTAGAGCACTGTTACACAGCATCACTGGAAATTGTGCTACCATAGTGCCTAGGTAAATTTTGGTTTTCAGGTCTGCATAATGTACAAATCCTGGTTTTCAACTTGACATCATAAATGAAAAAAATATCTGAGCTGTAGTTTTCTTGGAATGGGCAATTCTAGTTCGTAGGAAAGAAAGGGAAGAAATTTTCCTGAGGAAAGAATCTCAGCAAAAGCTGGGCCCAGGATACACTGAAATTATCTTTATTACCAATAACCTTATGATTCAAATATGTTACTATTCTTCAGAATTAGTGTAGAAGGTAACTGCAGTTTTACTATTGCCAAAGGTATAATTGCTATTGTAAGAAACTAATGGTAGGGGTAGTAGTAGTGTGTTTTTTCTGCCATCACTTCACTTATGCATCGGGGTTTATTAATTTGAACACATTATTCATATCTGGGCATTTTTAAGTTCTCAAACCTAGTTGAAGTACTTCCCCAAGAAATGTTCTTACCAAGTATGGGAGCTGCAGGTACACAGTAATTCTTTACCTTTGCAAAAAAAAAATTTTAATTGCATGGTTACCCAAGTTTCCTTTGTCTTAATTTTAGAGGTACCTAATCAATGCTGTTACAATACACGAGACTTGAGAATGATCAAGGAGTCACCTAGAAAATATTGCAGAAAAGCAAGACCAAGTAGCGAGATACGCATGCTTGATTTCAGTTATGAAAATGTTAGGCCTCATCAGCATAGCTAAATATTATATCAGTATTTTTAATCCTTTTTCACTGAAATGTAGAGTGTGCATGTTACAGATTTGAATTTCTGCCTTTAACTAGTTTAGAGTAAAAATCCTTAAACACAGACACACACATACTCCCTGTATGTATATGGCTTATGGCAGTAACTAAATAGTGACCTCTCCCTACTGATCACTGTTACAAAACCTTGCCATGCTTTCAGAATTTAGAAGGCCAGAAATTGGGAGCCAGATATCTCAGTTCAGTAAGCACAAGTTATAACACGGGTAGGCAACATTTTTTGGCTGGAGTGCCGAAAAAAAACACAATGTCTACCTTGGAAGGTGCTGGACTGCTGACATGCTAGACCCCAGAGCAGCTGTTTGCAGCCTTCTGGCTGCAGCCGGCCCAAGGAGCCCAGTCTGCTTGCAGCAGGGCTTGCAGCCTCCCAGCCGCTGTCTGGCAGCAGCTGCTTAGAGCTGGGGCTGGCAGTGGCGTGCTGAGCAAAATGGCCTTGTGTGCCATGCTCGGCACGCGTGCTAGGGGTTGCTGACCCCTGAGCTATAAGCTCAACTGATCTCAGAGCAAGGCAGTCAGAGCCCAGAGGAGCTGGAATTCTTTGCACAGTATTCCATAGCGATTCATATAACACCATTGAGCCAATTTCTGCTGACCTTTTGGTTGCTGAGTAGAAACTTACTACTATGTTGTCCTATTGGAATTGATATGTGGAGTGTAATTTAGTAGTGATTAGGGGTGCACCAGTAGAGATTTTTGTGGCTGAGATCTATGGCCAATATTTTAAGGAGGCATATCGCTGATACCGATCTGACTTTTGATACAGCTGTGTGCAGCTATCAAGTCCACTGTGGTGAAAGGGGAGAGAAGGGGTGTGGGGAGGGGCAGATCAATGCCTCCTGTGTTGAAGAAGGGGGCAGGTGCTGCCCATGAGCGGGGGCTGGAGCTGCTGCTTGGGGGGGGAGAAGGCAGCTTGCACTGCTGCTTGCACCCCAGGAGGGTGGGGGGGAAGCATGTGTACCCGGATCTGCATGGGGCAGGGTGGGCCTCAGCTGGGGTTGTGGGGGGCTGTTCTCAGTGGGGGCTGGGCTCGGAGCAGGCGCCAGCGGTGTTGGGAGGATGCTGTATCCACCTCAGATTTTGCTGCCACTCCACTGCCAGCACTGCTGTCACCCAGCACCGTCCCAGTTTAACGCCCCGCCTCTACCCATGCGCCAGGAAGAGTCAGGGCTGCTCCTGGCAGTGGCAGCGTTGGGAGCAGAGCAGCGGCAAAATTTTTGGGGTGAATGCAGTATCCTCCTGGCATCCACCCCTCCCTGCATGCCCTCCCAGGGTGCAAGCTACTACGGAAACCACCTCCCCCCACCCCCACCCGCGGCTCCGGCCCCTGCCCCGCCTGGGCAGCACCTGCCCCTGACCCCTCCCACACCATGGGAGGCATTGACCTGCCCCACCCTCACACCCTTCCCCTCTCCCCTCCACACCAGATGTACCAGGGGGAGGCAGCTCTTCGTGCCGCCGGTTCTGCTCCTCGCTGCCTGAGCGCTGCACTGCAGCTGCACGCTGCAGGGGCATTTATCAGCCAAATTACTGGCCCCATCAGGCCGATATCCAATAGAGCCAGTTTTCTTTATATCAGTACCAATCTGATATCGGACCGATGGATTGGTGCACCTCTCTAGTAGTGATGTGTGTAAAGGGGGCAAAATCAAAAAGGTGTAAAAGGGGTCCTTCATGTTGTCACAACCCAAGGGTGTGATTTTTCTTTTTGTATGTGCTTTGGCACCACTGAATTATTTTCCCGCCAATTTGTAGCTTTCTTTGCAGCGTGCATTTCTTCTTTGCAGCACAGAGATGCACGGTGCAAAGAGTTCCCGCCATTTGTATTATAATTCGAGCCCCATTATTGGCTTTCGTGAAATTATTTACACGTGGCGGCTAGTGATTGGCTTGCTAGCCGTATAAGGCTTGCTAGCCGTATAAAAAGCTTGAGTGGTTTCCGCCCAAGTTGGAGGACTCCACAAACACCAGGAGGAGGAGACTTCACGCTGTGTGAAGATCTCTAAGCGCTGCGGAGCCTATCGGACCCAGTGCATTTCAAGCAGGCAACAGAGGTCTGATCAGCCTCTAGCCTCTCCCTGTCGCCGTTCGCAATCCTCGACGTATCCCTCTCCCTGTACGCAAAAGGATCCACGGAGCCTCAACAACTCCGTGGGAGAGACCCGAGCTTGTCGTAGTCCTCAAATGAGGATATAAGCGGTGCTGTGCCTGGGAAACTGTCCAGCCTACACCGCGACCATCTTCGGTGTAAGTAAACAATCTTGAATCAACCATTACGCGTCTGTGCCTAATTCTAGTGTGTCTCCCGTTTTCTCCGATCCAGCGTGCCCGGGCTGCTGGCCACAGCCCGCGCAGAGCACAAAAAGGGCCCGGATCGCTCCCGGCCCGCACACATGTGTTCCTCCATGTTGCTCTATTGTCTTAATATGTTGCAAAGTTGGAGCAGTCTTAAGACTTTTGGGAGGATTTGTAAGGAGGAAGGGGGACAGTTAAATTGAATGCATTTTTGGGGGGGATATAAGCATTTGGTTCCAAGTGTACAACTAACAGATGTCAGCACCTCTGTCATAAGAATACAAAAGTATTAAGTGGATTTCCAGGCATGTAGGCAGCATTTGTAAATAGTTGGCAGGAGTGGGTTTCCTAGAGCTTGGAATGTTTTCAAGTGTGATCTGGGTCCCTTCTCCATTTTTTTAAATATGCAGTACACATTCTAAATGAGGGCTTCTCAGGCATTGGCTTTAGAAACCAAATATTCAAGTTGGCACCTTGCTTTCCTCTTTAGACCAGTATGCTTTGTAGAAGTTTTTGAACTTTTTTTTTTTAGCATACTTTCCTGAATCACTTTCACGTTGTACACTTCTTTTCTTCTAAAAGGGAATGTTTGGCATTATCTCTTCAAGAGAATGTTGCTAACTGCACTGTAGCTTTTTGCCCCTTCATGCATGAAAGACAATGGCACCAGCTATAGGGGGAGCTTACCTTCTCTACTAATGGTAACAAATAATGCTTGTAGAAGAGGAACATAGGAGCTGCCTAAAAATACTGAGCAAGCTTCATCCACACTGTCTGCACACAGTGGCTTTTGGCTGCACACAGTGAACACCAGTATTTCTTAGAAATAGTACTGGTACATTTTCTTGCAAGGAAAAGTTTTCTAAGAAAACACAGGAAAAAAGAGTGCAAATAAATTGCTTACCCTTTTTAAACCTGGAGAGGCTTTTGATTTAAGCTAATTCAGGGTACACAGTTTCATGAAACTATATATTTCAGTCTGGATGGCACAGCAGCATCCCACTCTATTGCTATTACCCTTCCCAACAGAAATTATTCTGCAACTTCTTGGCTTCCATTACATTAGGACGTTGCCAAAGCAAGTTTTCAGGTCTAGATATTTCTGGTTTAAGGCTTTTGAATAGCTGATGAATATTCTGCTCACTCGGCTTTCATAGTTTGTAGGAGCAGGGGAGGGTTTTGGTTTTTTTCTTTAAGTAATTCTTCTATTTTTGTTCAGAAACTTACATGAGTAATGATTCAAAACCTAGATTATACTGTACACCTTTTTCAACCAAATGTAAACAAGAAAGCATTTCTTTCCCAGACTGAAATCTCTTGGCATTAGAACTTAAAATCTCTATGTATATGAATAAAACAAATCTGGATATAGATTTCTGCTTCGCACTTTATAAATTAAATTCTTAAGAAAAAAACTAAGTTTATAAATGAGTAGCTTCAAATTTCTGAGTCTTGAATTTGATTGAGACCATTAATAAGTCTTATCTATGAAATACAGATTTCTATAAAACATTTACTTGGCTCATAGTTTGTCTCATCCTGCAAGCCCTGTGTTTATGCGCAGTTTTAGGTATAGGAGAGAGTTTTTTCTTCTTGCAATCACAAGCCAAAACTATATTTCTGTCCTGATATAGTGAATAGACTTTTCTTTTTCTTTACATATTTTTATTTCCTTTTTTATTAAATAATTACATTAATATGTTGCTAAATAAAAATAAAGGGTTTTTTCTAACCACATCATTTTTGCTGAAAACATCCTCTTCCAGAATCTTGGGTTTTTCCAGGAGTAAATAATTCTCAATTCAGACACTTTTAACATGCAATGCATTTTTAAATAGGAGACTGTTTCCTACTGTATATGTTATTGTTAGTCAATGACAGGTAGTTTTAAAATCTGTGTAAATAATGGACTTCAGAACTTTCTAGCTTCAGCTGCATTGAGACAGTTGGAAAATTTGCAAGTCAGTAAATTATGCCTTTCTTCAAAAAGAAGCATCATGTAAAGGCTTGAGTTGCCTTGTGAAAATCTCTCACAAAGAAGTCTGTAATGCAAAAAAGTCTCTTGGAGTTCCTCCTTGCCCATTTGTCTTTACAGACAGGGAAATTAATTACAGCCTCTGATTGTTCCGTACCCTCATTTTTGCCTTACTTTTCAGACCTCATTTGGCTGCATTCACTTTCACATTATTGCAACAGCATAAAATATGACAACTGGAAAAGCAGAAAGATGTAGTCTGTATTATTTTGCTTCATAGCATAGGAAATTAGAGAACAGCAACCTACTGTGACACTTGAATACAGATTGATATGGCATTACTGTGTAGGGCATGCAGTTCTGCTGTGGAACAGATGCTACAAGGAAACAAAAACAGCATGACTATCTTTAGTCCTAGGAACTTTCAGAATTGGTAGTCTAAATTTATAACAATAAAAGCATTCTAAGTGGCTCATCTCATCAATAGAATAATCATAAGAACAGCAAGAAAACAGTGCTGAAGTTTTATTATCCAAAACAATCAAATATGCTCCTAATATTGGTATGTACATTTAAAAACAAAAATCATTCAGCCTTCTCAATATGGATTTCTATGGGCTATCTGACGTATTTTTTTCCCTGTTATACATGTTTTTTTCTTTAAAAAATTTAAGCTAAAAATGAATTTTAAATTAAACGTAGGAGCATTGTTACATATAATATTAGATGGTTAGAAGGTGATCAGGGTGGATTTGATTTAAATCAAATTGATTTAAATCACTGGTCAGGAAACCTTAATGTAATCATTGTTTTCTACAAAAAGTGCATTCTTTTGTTTGATATCCTTTATTCATTTAATTTCTTGAAACTTTGCACTTTTAGAGAGAGGTAAGGGCTTGACTGTGTATATACAAATTTGCAGAGAGCCAATAGGACTGGTGGGTGGGTAATCAGGTCTGTATTCTGTCCTCTCCAGTATACTGTTGTTAATGAGGATGTTATCTCTATAGACAGCAAATTGTCCCTGTGCCGAAAGAAGGGTGTTTGCCTGAAAGCTTACAAAGAACAATTTTCCAATTATTCAGTTCATCTAATAAAAGATATTGCATCTATCCAAAGAACCTTGTCTGCCTATGATCTCTGGAGACACAAATCCACAGTTTGAGAACTGAAACTAAGCGTCACAGACAGAGCTGTCCCTGGTGGGGATGGAGGACAAAATGGGGCAACTGCCCTGAGCCCCGTGCTTTGAGGGGCCCTGCAGAGCCAGGCAGAACAGCCACGTGGCGGCTCCACACTACTGCTAGCTTCGCGACCAGCAACTCGGCCCCCCCGCCGCCAAATCCGCTGCTGGCTTCTTTGCGTCCATGCAGGCTGGTTTGTCCTGGGCACCACACCCTGCTCGGTCTCTGATCACAAAGGTGCTTAATGCGAACTTCTAGACCAGGGATTGGCACTCCAGCCAAAAAATGTTGCCTAAAACCCGCACAATGCCTACCTTGAAAAGTGCCAGAGTGCCAACATGCCGCAGGCTGGAGGAGCTGTTTGCAACCTCCTGGCTGCAGCTAGCCCACGGAGCCCGGTCTGCTTTCAGCAGGGCTTGCAGCCTCCCAGCTGCCTGCTGGGTGCAGCCTGGGCTCCGGGGCTGGCAGCAGCTGCTTAGAGCCTGGGCTGTCAGTGGTGTGCTGAGCAAAATGGCCTTACGTGCCATGCTTGGCACACGTGCCAGGGGTTGCTGACCCCTGTTCTAGACTGACCACTGGGTCCATTGGGTAGAGTGGTTTCCTTGAATCTTTATTATCTATAGAGGAGCCTCTGGGAACCCCATAAGTTTGGGCCCCTAATAGAGTCCATGGCTTGCTGTGACCTATTTATAAAACTTCTAAAAAGGTTACATGAATATATTGTCTCAAATTGTATAAAATTAGAAGTTATAATCCCTATTCCATGATACTATCTTTGAGCTTTAACATATCTTAAATGAAAGCTAGCTTTATATAAGATTTTCTTTTAAAAAGCATCTTAAAAAATAAAAAATATGATTAAATCAAAAATATTATTTAAATTTTAAAAATCTGATTTTTATTTTTTTTAATGTTGATTTTTATCCACCCTGAAGGTGATATCTTGGAGCTAGAAGTGTTTCTTCATTAGTGACTGACTGAAACATTTGTTTAATTTTGTTTAGGTTTATTTATGAAACAGAACATCACAATGGAATAGCAGAATTATTGGAAATATTGGGAAGGTAAGCTACCAGTTATCCCACAAGTCATCAAACCATTTAAAATGTGGAGGAGAATTTTTAAAAGTTGATTTGCGGATTGGACTTTTTTTTTTTTTTTTGACAACACCATTAAAATAACTTTTTACCACTAAGCAAAGTTGTTCCTAAGGATATCTGCAAGCATTTAAATGATGAAAATACCAGTGAAGGAGACTGTTTACTTATAAACATTTGGCCTCACAGGTCACATCTGGACCATGGGCTTTTTGCGGGGCTGCATCTGTACACCTGGGGGCAGGTTTTTGGCACAACTGCTAGAGCCACTGCTTTGGCATGATTCTGGAACCTAGGGATTGAATGTTGCTGCCGCTCATCTCTTCTTTTCCCCTGCTGCAAAAATTTAGTTACCAACAGCAGCCAAAGACCCCAGATTCAGCAGCAGGCAAACAGGTGGTGGGGGGCAAGCAGCAGGGGCTCCAGAGCTGTGCCTGGCCAGTAGTTCCAGCAGCTGTGCCAACAAGCCCTGCAAGCTGAAGATTTACCCCTTGCAGGCCACTAGGTGGACAGTTTTGGATTCGATTAAATAAAATTTATATGAAGAATATAAAGAGTGTGAAACTTGTGATTGGTTTGTTTGCAAAAGATAAGTTTCAAGGTCTTGAGTAATTTCCAGATGGACTGTAGAAGATGCATGGTAATGAACAAGCTTGAAAGGGCAGTTGTGACTTAGTACTGCCTCCATTATCTAGTATCTGATCTTGTGTGTAAAATTGTTAATTGGCATTCCATAATGCATTGCCATGATGTTACATTTTAAAAAATGACACTGCAAAATTTTTCAAAATGCTAGTTTTCCAACTGTTATATGAATTCATTTTCATTGAATCTGATTACACCAGAAGTGGTTGTTAATACTTGCATGAGCTTTCATACATCATTTATTACTGCAGGATCTGTAACATGTTTACATACTACATTTGCCTTTTGGTAGTATGTTTACTTGAATAACAGCAACACTTGTACCAACAGTCAAATGGCTGCTTGAGGGTTCCCACATTAAGGACTGATTTGATAACTGACATTCAGTCTGAATGGAGAGTAACAAAATAAACCACATCTGAAAAAAGTCATCCCACTTTACTGGAAAATGTTAATATTTGAAACAGCGTGAGTCTATGCACATGTGTAGAGTGACCATACATCCCGCTTTGACTGGGACATTTCAGGATTCTGTAGCTTGGTCCTGGCTGATTGGTCAAAAGTCCCAGGCTGGAGTCCCGTGGGAAGGCAGAGCAACAGGCAGACAGCCAGGCAGGCACTGTTGCTCCTGTGTGAGAGCAAGGCGGGCCGACTGGAGCAGGCGCTACCCTGCCCACATGTGGCACATGCCAGGATCCTTCTGGTTTCAGGAAGGTTGCAGGAGAGAGAGATAATTGTAGACAATGTATGTACAGCTCTGCTGGATTCATTTCTCGCAATGGAAATTTTCCACTACTAGAAATAAACATTTGTATGCAACCCATGTCTTCATCTGTCTACTCTTCTGGATAGCACTCCCCACGTGTGAAGTCTTTGTCTGCTTCCCTCACTAGAAGTGAGGTATTTGGAAGGTAGATTTATTTAGATTGCTGTTCTTGAGGCTCTTGGGGAAGAGCTGGGATCTGAAGGAGGGAACCACTGAGTCCCATATGCCACTTGAAGGGAGGATTTTAAAACATGGAAAAAATGTGAGATGGAACCCATACTACAGGAGACCGGAAGTAATTGATTTGACTGTTGAGTGAATTTGTATTGTGCTGTGTAAAACAATTAAAGTTAAATTTCCTTAATATTTTAATCAGTCTTTATTTAATGACTTATAGCCTTATAAAATATTAATGCAGTAAGGATATCTCAAATTAAAATCAACCTAAAACAATAGAGACTGAGGAGAGATTTTCTTTGCATATTATTAAAGTGGATAAGCATGGTGAACACTTTGAGCAGTTACTGATTTTAAAAATTCCTAATTTTCTTTTTCCAGTATAATTAATGGATTTGCCTTACCATTAAAAGAAGAGCACAAAATTTTCTTATTGAAGGTGTTGTTACCTTTGCATAAAGTGAAATCACTCAGTGTCTACCATCCACAGGTAAATAAATGTTTTTGAGGCATATGATTGTTTTTTCACTAGGAGACAGTGCTAGAACTAGACTGGGGCACTGGACACCTAGATTCTGTTCCCAGTTTTGCCACAGTGCTGAATGGCTTTTGGCAAATCAAATAATCACTCTGTATCTCTATTTCTCTATCTATTAAATGGGGATAAATATACTTCTTTCAAAAGTACTCTGTTTATGGAAGCAATGCAGTAAATAAGGCTAGATTGTATGGAGATTCTTGAATTATGTAGACTTAAAGCAAAAGCTAAGATTTCTGGTACAAACATAGTTCATGTTTATGTACATTTACCTTTTAAAGTATAATCTCATTGCAGGAAAATCTGTTTTAAAGAGACAGTCTTAAATGGATTTTAAAGAAAAGAAAAGCTATAATGCAATGTATTTTGCTTAGATCACTTTAAATATATTAACTCGGTTGAGTTTGTTGCAATTTGTGGGTAATGGATGTCTTAAGCAACTAAAGAAATAAGTAGCTTGTCACAGGAATGTGGCAAAACTCAAATATCTTGAAAAAGTAGTAAGTTAAAGTTTTGAGCTAGCCATCCTGGATTGAAAGCATTATCAGAACTGGGCGAGAGGACTTTGTGTAGTGGATGGAGAGAGGGTATTGGGAACATCACCCAAAGAGGAGCCTAAGGATATGGATGTATGTACATTTTCACCCATTTCAAAAGAGGAATGTTTAAAAAGGGCAATAGCTGTTACGTTCTAATTGTATTGCTTCCAGCTTGTCTGAGTTTAACACATGTAGCAAAACTGGTTCAACTAGGGTTAAATTTGGAGCAGTTTTGCTACATGTGTATCACTTCCAGCTCTTCTGCATGTAACAGTATATCAGCTCTGCCCTTTTGTAATAGCCCTGAATGTATGTGGGTCCATAACCTGATCTTAACTGAGCAGTCAAGGTACACCCTACGTGATGGGATAGTTGGAAGCAGTGTAGGTAACCAGACTGAGAAGGAGCAGGGGGGTAAAGGAGTTGCTTCTTCCTTCCCATGCTTAAGCTTATGCTCGATCCTAACAATCCACGTTTTCCTGGGTTTTTTGTTTGTTTTTTGGTTTGTTTTGTTTTTCTTTTAATTTAATAAGTTGTGGCCACCTCAACATTGCGCTGCCCTGGTTGAGAGGAGCTGCTCTTGTAAAATTGTCAATGGGAAAAGAGAAGGAAAAGACTATCTTTATGACATTAATCCTAGAGCACCAAATAGTGTATTTACTCAAATTTAAAATTTTTTTTCTTTATTCCCCCATTTTTAACATGAGGTAGGGATGGAAACCTTATCTTGCATTTGAGTGCCAGAGCTGCTGCTGCAGCTGCCACCACTGTCTGGCTGGGGCTAGGGTGGCTCATGCAGTTTTGAGGAGCACAGGGGAGACTGGGGAGTATGTGGGGGAGACCACAGTTGGTGGGCGTAGAGCAGAGGAAGGGGAACTGCTACTGTTACCTGGCTGAAGATGCAGCTGCTAGCAAGTAAGCAGCAGTAGTGGAGGGGCAGGCAGGTACTGGTAGTGAGTAAGTGGCAGGTAGGGAAACAGGCACTGGCGAGCGTTGCAGGCATGCGGAGGGGAGGGGGAAGTGGCAGAGAGTAACAGACGGGTTTCGGGCTACCTGCCCCTCCCCCTGCTTTCCTTGCCACTCGCCCCCTTGCTGCTGTTTTCCCTGCTGCAGTGGTTTTTTGGGGGATGTGAATTTAAAGACAGCCTTCCAATAATTAGATTCTATATGTAGAAAATTATAACAAAGTTATAATGTTCCAGGTATATAATGTAATTATTGGAGTGTTCATCTTGAATTTGGGTAAGTATAGTAAATTACATTCCATTTGGCCAGTTAATACATCCCGATTCTCTGATTCTCAAAGTAGTCTGAAATGAGAGTTCTAAGGTGGGAACTTTCTCCCGTAACTTCCATTTGGAAGTGATATTAAAACCTAACGGCTTTAATAGCCACATTGACTGCTTATCATTTTAACAAAAGGTATTCAGTTAAAGTATTGTCAGTTGTTGCATGAAGTGATAGGTTTTTTTGGACTGAAAACAGCAGAAAATTGGATACCTGTCAAAAGACTGGGATAGGGAGCACCTTAATGTTTAATGCCAACGATGTAGCCTTCAAGAAAGATTAAGTTAACCTTCAAAGGAAAGAAAGAGAAGATAGTTTCTTTACTTCTATATCCAAGTGGGTGGCAAGTCCTTCCCTTCTCTGTTATCCATAGGCTCAGCACTCAGCTTTCTAGCATTATGTCTGCCCTGGGTAGTATATACAATGCAGTTATTTGTTGCTAATACAGAAATCTGCAACAACTGAAAATGTGTACATTGTGGAAATTAGAATTTAATATGAAAATAGGAAAGAATACATAGCTGATTCTTACTCTATTTAAAGTTCAATTCCTTGTAAACCTCAGATTACCTGAGGCTGGTGGAAATTTTCTGGCTCCTGTGGAAAGCCATCTAGAAGATATGCCCAGATTGCTGCAGAGTACATTGTGCCATTTTTGTTTGTGAATCCAAAACTTGCAGTACAGCCAGTCTCTCCTGGGTTTGCCGACCATTCAGTATTTTCATTAATTAATTAGATGATAAACTAAGGTGTGCACTTAGAAAATGTGTGGAAGACACTAATCTGAGTGAGATGACAAACTCTTTGAAGAACAGGTTTAGAATTCAAAACTAGTTCAATAAATTGGAGAAATTATCTGAATTCAATACAGTGAATTCATTGAAATGTCAAGTACTGACAATGTGCTTAGGAGCGGAAAATCAAATGCAAATACAAAAGCAGTAGTACAGAGGGAAAGCATCTGGAGAAGTTTAGGGAACTGGAAACTGAATTCCAAGCAGTATTAACAGTCTTGTCATATGCAAGATATGGGAAGCAATTATTGGGGTCTCCTTAATGCCAGTAAGGGCGCAGCTGGAGTACTGTGTCCAGTAGACAAGCTTTAGAGAATTCAGAGGAGAGCGTAACAAATAATATTTAGGATAAATGACCCTTCAGAAGCATGGGTGTTTTAGTCTAGAAAAGAAAGGCTGAGGGATGTAACACTCAAATGTGTTTAAAGAAAACAACACAAAAACCCCGACACACAAAATTAAAGCTATAAAAAAGGAAAGGGAATTTTCTTCCATGTCCATTGAGGGTAGGATACGCAAGTCTAATAATGCACCAAAAGAAATGTAGGCTAGATCGTAGGAAAAACTTCCAACTAAGTAAGTCAAGCACTGATACAGGTTACCAGGCAGGTTTTTGGAATCCTTGTCACTGGAAGTATTTAAGAACAGATTAAACAAACATCTGTCAGGGATAATCTAGGTATAGTTTTTCTGTATCAGACTAGAGGAATGAACTAACTCCCAAGGTCTGTGCCTCCAGCAGTAGCTGCCAGTTTTGCATTTCCCCGAGTAAGTGTTGCCCTCATCATGTTGCCAGGACTAGATGGCCTTGAAATCCCTTTCAGCCCTATATTTTTCTGATTTATGTAATAGCACACATTTTTGAAATGTTTGTATTATGTGCATGCATGCAAAGTTTCATAATTTGTTATAATCTGCTTCACATTCGATAGTGAATTTGGTACAGTAGGAATCAAGGAGGTAAAGAAATTCTAGTCTCCCCTACTCCAGCAATTCCAGAGAAGAATTCAAAGAACTTTGGATCTACGTTTCTTGAGAAACCCCATAAAATGGAAAAATCTCCTATAGCAAGGAATACTTCCCTGCTATTGCCTGCAATTTAGAACAGTTCTGCTGACTTAGATTGGTACATAGCCAGCCTTCTCCATCTTTTTACCTCTTGAGAGCAGAGAGCCCTACCTCAGCCCTTTTACTTTGTCATTTTCACCTTTCTGGGAGATAGGAAATAAGGACACAAGCAAGAATCTCAGGAAGCCAGTTTCAGAGCCAATGGAGAGAATTACTTAAGGTCTTGCTCATATGTCTGAATTGTTTAGCTTTCAGAAATCTTTCACCATCTAGCCTTTAGACCTGTTTTTCAAAAGTGAATTTTAAATTTGTTATTCCATGCTGTTTTTAATCTTACCAGCAATCAACAGCAGTTAAGCGCGGCTGTTGCAGGGAGTCAACTGGCAGGGAAAGACACCCATGCTTCCCACAGACTGAGCCAGATCAGAAGGGGAATAGAACAGCTGGACAGTGCCCTCACCTGGTTTGCCAGATGCTGGGCACCTCTAGTCTGGGGAAGAGCCAATGATGAGCAGCAGCAGCTTCTCCCCTCCCCTCCCCTCCCCTCCCCTCCTGGATGGGTGTCAACTTAGAAGAATTTTCTCCCAGAGAGAGCATATTTGCTCCTGGATAAATTGTATAAATGCTTGCACATTCCTGGTTTCTACTAGGAGAGCAGCCAGTTCTCCTGGTGATATACAATACCTGTACATGGACCAGTACTTTTTTTTTGTAGCTGAGCACTCCAGTTCATTAGAAAATGGGGATAGAAGAGACCTTCAACTAAGTAGTTATTTACTAATTATTAATTATTTACTAACACAGATGTTAGTCATCTGTGGCCTTCTCTTGAAATCACTGTCATCTTATATTTTTAGGTTTATAGATTTAGATCTATAGAAAGAACTGTGACTGTCAAGGAGAGGTGCTAACTTCTGGGGTCTGAATTGACCCCCCCCCCCCCCAAAAAACCTTTTTAAACCTTCTTGTTTTCTAATAAGTAGGAGCATACCATATTCTGTTACTGGCCCATTGTGGGATAAATGGAAAGGAAATGATGGCAGAGACTTTCTCTTAAGTCAAGTTTTGTCAGACTATACGCTATATAGCCTTTTTTTTTTTTTTAAGAAGCAGCACTGAAGAGATTCTCATTCTAGTAATAATCAAGAAGCTGTTTATGTTTGTATACAATAACCTAGCAAAACCTATATGAAAAAAGTAGAATGCTAGTCAAGTAAAATATTGACAAAACATCATTTAAGCTCTGGTGTCATTTTTTTGGCTGTTCTAACTGGTGTCTGCAAACTACAGAAATAAAAAAAATAGCGTTTTTTAGTATAAGAATAGTTATCTAAATTTGGCAATGTTCTCAACATTTAATGCTGACAATCTGTACTTAGTATATGTTTATATTAAAATACTAAATTTAGTTTAATAGTGAATATTAATATATTTTTTCTCTTTATTTAGCTGGCATACTGTGTAGTTCAGTTTTTAGAAAAGGACAGCACACTTACTGAACCAGTAAGTAAATGTTGCTTGTTTATTACATTCGTGCATTTAAACACTTAAACATTTTGACGTGCAAATTGTTTTCAGTGTCTGTTGTACCAAAAATTTCCAAGTAATAGATAACAGTAAGAGCCAGTTATTAAGATAAACCTGTATCTATCATGTATATCTACTTTACTCCCAAGCAGGGGAGATTATCAATTAATGGGATCCCCAAGGATGAGGGGGGCCATGGAGAAGCCCTCAAGTGTGCCCCCTGGCTTGGAGAGCTTGCCTGTGAAACTGTCCAGTCATAGGATTGGAGGAATGTCTTGATGGTCCAGCTCCCAGGCTGTTTTTCTACCAGAACAAATTTCTTCCAGTAGAAATGACATCTGCATACAGCCTAAATCACAGAAATTTCTTCAGCGTAACCAAGAATAATTTGCATTTTTTTTAATGTCAATTTATATATTTCATGCATCATTTAAGAAGTTTGAACTTTACTTCTGTTTGAAATGCTGCTATCATCAAGTCTGAAACCAGTAGACATCCAAGCCTGTTTTCCGTCAGAGTCCCACGATGTTATGGTGTGATCATGAATTATGGAAAGTTATAAAAAATGCTTTGCTTTCTAAAATGTTCATCAGAAGCAGTAATCCCTCACAGTCGAGAATGATTGTCTTTTATATGTGGGTTCGAAGATGGCTGACAGACCAACCCAGGATCAACAGGTTCTACTGCAGCTCAGGCATGCGTTTCCAGTAGGGGTGGATGGCTCCAGATTCCTGTTTTGGTCTGCGACACACTGTTTCTGCTACTCCCTCTTTTCCATCTCCTGTTGTCATCATAAGGCTTTAAAGCATTGAAATCCTTGCAACAAACTCTTACTCCATTTGGGGCAGTCCTGGGCAGTACCCTCCAATGAGTTGACATTGATGTTGCATTTTTTCAAATTGGCCTTGAGGACATCCTTGAAGTGCTTTGTGTGCCATCTTCTTGAGCATGAGCATATGCCTTGGCAAAGCTGAGAGAATAAAACTTGCTTCAGAAGTCTAGAGTTGGACATCTGGATGACACAGCCAGCCCGGCAAAGTTTATCATCACCTCAACGCTAGTGTTGTTTACTTATGAGAGGACACTAATGTTGGAGCGTTTGTCCTTCCACTGGATTTGAAGGATCTTTTGCAGGCAGCATTGATGGTACTTCTCCATCAAGTTGAGGTGTGTCCTGTACATTGTCCGCATCTCGGCACCCTACAGCAAGGTAGGGATCATGATTTCTTGATAAGCCATGAGCTTGGTTTCAAATCTGTTGTTGTGATCTTCAAACACATTTCCTCAGGCGTCTGAAGGCTGCACTTACACGGTTTGAAGCACTGTTGGATTTCTTCATTGATGTCAGCCTTCTGCAACATGGCTTCCAAGGTACAGAAAATACTCAGTGTTTTACAGACTCTCACTGTAAATACAAGTTACCAGAACTGGGGACTGCTCATTAAGAGTTAGTTGATGAAGGACTTTAGTCTTCTGAATGTTAAACCTTAGTCCCATTTTCTTGTATGCCTTGGTAAAAACATCAGCAATTGCCTGGAGGTCTGGTTCCAAGTAAGCACACATTACAACATCATCAGTGTGCTGGAGCTCAGTGGTTGAGGTTTAGAGTAGTCTTGGTTTTGGCTCAAAGTTGGCTGATATTAAACAGCTTGCTATCCATTCAGTAGGTTAGCTCCACTCCAACTGGAAGCTTGTTAGTGGTCATATGTAGCATCACAGTAAGGAATATCAAGAAGGGTGTTGGAGCAATGACACAGCCTTGCTTAACTCCTGTCTTAATCTCAAAGGGATCTTTGATGGATCCATTACAGAGAACCACTGCTCACGTGCTGTCAAGGAGCAAGCAGCAAATGGTGACAAATTTCATTGGGCATTGGTACCTCAGAAGGATCCTCCACAGCGCTTCTCGGTTGACAGTGTCAGAAGCTTTCATGAAGTCAAATATGGCCATGTAGAGTGATTTATGTTGTTCCCAACATTTTTCCTGCAGCTGGCAAGCAGTGAAGATCGTGTCAGTTTTGCTTCTTCATGCCCTAAACCCAGACTGAGATTCTGGGAGGAGCTCTTCAGCAAGTGGAAGGAAACAGTTCAGGAGGGTTCTTGCAACGATCTTTCTTGCACTGGACAGCAAGGCAATCCCTCTGTAACTTACACAGTTGGGGCTGTCTCCTTTTGTGAAGATTATCATGATCATGGCGTCCCTGAGGTCATGTGGGATTTCCTTATCATTCCAGATCCTTAAGATGAGGGCAAGGAGTTGCAAAGTAAGCTCCTTTCCCCCCTGCTTGAAGATTTTGACAGGAATTCAGTCTGTTCCAGGTTCTTTGTCATTCTTCATCTGCTTGATGGCTTTTGCCACCTCATCAAGGGTTGGAGAGATTCCGAGAGAGTTTCTGACTGGGTGTTGCAGGATGGAATTGAAAACACTAATCAACAACAGTCTTGATTGAGAAGATCTTCAAAATGTTCCTTCCAGCAGGTACTGATGGCTCCCCTCTCTCTGATCTGGTCTCTTCCATCCTTAGTTTTCAAAGGGGTTGGTCCCTGAGTGCTAGGACCATAGATGGCTTTAGTACTAAAAAATCCCCACGTATGTAGTGGATGTCAGCAAGATGTTGAGACTCCTTCGCCTTGTCTTCCCATCATCCGTTCTTCATATTGTAGGTCTTCCTTTAGACCTCTGCCTTGGCTTGTTGGTGAATCAGTTTCTTTTGCTTGGAGTTAGAATCAGAAAATTAGGGTTGGAAAGAATCTCAGAAAGTCATCTAGTCCAACCCCCAGCTCAAAGCAGGACCATCCCCAACTACATCATTCCAGCCAGGGCTTGGTTGAGCTAGGCCTTAAAACCTCAAAAGGCAGAGATTCTACCATTTCTCTAGGTAACCTGTTCTAGTGCTTCACTACCGTCCTAGTGAGAGTTTTTCCTAATATCCAAGCTGAACTTTCCTGGCTGCAATTTGAGACCATTGCTCCTTGTTCAGTCATCTGCCACCACTGAGAACAGTCTAGCTCCAACCTCTTTGTAACCACCCTTCAGGTAGGTGAAGGTTTCTATGAAGTGTCCCGTTCCCTTAGCCTCTCCTCATAAATCAGGTGCCCCAACCCCCAACCATTTTTGTTGCCCTCCACTGGACTCGCTCCAATTTGTCTATAACCTTTCTGTAGTGACGGGCCCAAAACTGGACACAGTACTTCTGATGTGGCCTCACCACTGCAATATAGAGGGGAATAATTACTTTCCTTGATCTACTGGCAATGTTTCTACTAATGCAACCCAGTATGCTGTTTAGCCTTTTTGGCAATAAGGGCACACTGACTCGTATCCAGCTTATTGTCCACTGTACCCCCCACGTCCTTTCCTGCAGAGCTGCTGCTTAGTTAATTGGTCCCAAGCCTGTAGCGGTGCATGGGATCCTTCTGTCCTAAGTACAGGACTTTGCACTTGTCCTTGTTGAACCTCTGTGAGATTTCTTTTGGTCCAATCCTCCAATTTGTCTCGGTTGCTCTGCATCTGAGCCCTACCCTCCAGCATACATACTAGTCCCCCCAGCTTGGTGTCATCTGCACACTTGCTAAGGGTGCACTCCATCCCATCTTCCAGATCATTAATGAAAATATTGAATGAAGGGGCCCCAGGACTGACCCCTGGGGGCACTCCACTTAATATCAGATGTCCAACTAAACATTGAGCCATTGATCACTACCCGTTGAGTCCAGTGATCCAGCCAGCTTTCTGTCCACCTTACAGTCCATTCATCCATCGCATACTTCCTTAGGTTGCTTGCAGAAAAGTTGTGGGAGGCTGTATCAAAAGCCTTGTTAAAGTCAAGGTATATCACATCTGCTGGTTTCCCCACATCCAGAGAGCCAATCATCTAATCACAGAAGGCAACCAGCTTGGTCAGGCATGACTTTCCCTTGGTAAATGAATGCTGACTGTTCCCAAGTTGATGTTTTTTTGCCAGAAACAAAAGGCCTTGCACTTAGTCGGTCAACTTCTAGATCTCCTGGTTGTTCTCATCAAACCAGTCTTTGTGTTTCCTGGTAGTGAATCCAAGCGTCTCTTCACAGGCGCTGATGACAGTGGACTTGAAGGCACTCCAAACACTGCTGACATTCTCCCATTGTTGTTAATTGGAATTCACCAGTTTTTTGTTGAGGCACTGGTAGAAGAGCTCTTACTTGATTGGATCCTTGAGTCCTTCAATGTTGACTTTCCATTGCCATTGATTCTGCTTCAGCTGTTGTTTGGGAGCCAATTTGAGTGACATAACTGAGCGGGTGAGTCGGTGACTGGTCCAGCAGTCATTAGCTCCTAGCATAGCTCGAGTGATGCGGCCATCTTTGCGATCCTGGGCATGAACTATGACTTAGTCAATCAAGTGCCAGTGCTTAAATTGCAGGTGTTGCCATGATGTCTTGTAACAGTTTTTTTGGTGGAACAGGGTGTGGTGATGGCGAGTCCATGTTTCCTACATTTGGTCAAGAGGAGCATGTCATTGGAGTTGACTTTTCTCGCTCCTTTCTTGCCGATGATTCTGTTCCAGAGGTTTGAGTCCCTTCTAACTCTGGCGTTGAAATCACCAAGCAGGATAAGTCTTCTCCCCACAGAACATCAGAGAATAGTTGATCACGGTTGACATAGAATTCCTTCTTGGTTTCATCAGTGGCATTGGAAGTTGTGGCATATGTGCTGGCAACAGTGGCGTATTGACTCCTTGCCGATTTTAAAATGGAGAGTCATGAGGCGCGCTCATTAAGTCCAATAGGGAACTTGTTGAGTTGGTTTGTGAGTTAATTCTTAATGGTAAATTAACTTGGTGTTCTCCTTCCTGCTTGCCCTTCCAGAAGAGTATATAGCCACCTCTTTTTTTTCCTCTCTCTCTCTCTCTTCGAGCTACCCATCTCTCACTTGGGTCTTGCTTAGTGCAGGGATGTCAGTGTTGTCACCTGAGTTCTTGAGCCACAATTGCAGTGTAGTACTCTGGGCGTTCACTGTTAGGATTGTCCATGAGGGTTCTGATGTTCCCAGGTCCCAAAAACGATTGTGTGTTTCCATTATTTCAATCACAGTAAAGGTGAATCCCACTGAATGCGGTTATCCTGTCAGGAAAAGCGGAGTAAGCAGACTGTTTAGGGCACCTTTTCTAGCATTCTCTTCATGTGGTGTGAGCAGAGTCGACCCTAAAAAGGTCTGCTCAGTCACAGTGAACAGCTATCAAATTGCACTCCTGCCAATCCAAGTGCTAGATGACATTCTTGTAAGTGCCACCTTCGTGCCAGTTTGTGACTAGGAGCTTCCAGGTCTCGCAGTCCTACTCCCATCATCCCTAGCTGGCTGCTGAAGGGCTTGAAAAATGTGCTAAATTCATTTTCAGTCTTGTCCATGATTTCTTTTTATTGTGGAGAGGCTGCTGCACATCAGCTTCCGTAAGGCTCTTGACAGAATGGGACCTTGATCCAATAGCAAGGAGGGGAAGACAATTGGAGATCACGTTCCATTGCAGCCCTTGTCCACCTACTCCACCATTAAGGATTCATAGGCCCATGGCTGGGGCTGGACAAGCTTATTATAGTGGCAGCCTGTACTCGCCATGTCACAGCACCTTCGGAGGATATATGTGGCTTTTCAGGAGGGAAAGCATTGCCATCTGCTGTCCCCACCACATCCTGGTGCTGCTGCCACTGCTTGGTCTACGATTGCTTATTCATGAGAGAGAACCCTCCTTATTTCCCAGCTAGCCATCCCTGAAGGTCATTCTATCTGCCTCCTGTGGACATGCTAAGCCAGCTTCCATAATTAATAAATATACTAAGTCAGCCTTCACCCAAAAAGAAATAAAATAAGGGAGTAGATTTTGCAGCTGGTTTAGTAAATTTTCATAATTCTTTCACCAAGCTGCCCTCAGAGTGTTATTGAGTTATGACTGTTCATCGTTCTGCCTCAAAAACTAATTATATAAGCAAGTTTCTTTCCTGAAATGACTGTTCATTGTTTCATGTTTTCTTGATATTCACTATCTATAATTACCCTTGGCTTTTAATTCATAGACATTTTCCAAATAAAGAAAACTTTCTTTCAAGTAGAATGGCTAATATTAGATGATAACTTTTATAACAATATGTGTACATATGTTATCTATGTATTTTTGGTCTAAAAGAAAAATATATTTTTTAAACTTGTGCTAATTTCGCAGTCTATTGCATAATAAAAAAGCATCCTTTTTTTTATGCAAAATATGGATTTTAAGAGTGCTCAGTCTATGCTAAAAGTGCCATTCCAGTTTCAGATATTACAAATTCTGTACAATTGACCGTGGCGATAGAAGTATCAGTAAATATGCTTTTTAAGTCAGTATAACTTTCCAGATTTTAAGATTTTTGCCTTACATATTTTGGACTGCCCAAATCTTTGGCAAGTATGAATAAAGGAACAAAAGAGGATTGTGTTAATAGTACACAGTATTTTTATCAGTCTTGTCATTGAGAAGTTGTGCACGTCCACAACAGTCATCTGTAAACTTAACCTTTACAAGAAGCCACAAACAACGTAATTTGTAAAGTAGAAGTCTTTTGTGAGACCTGAGTTACACCAGTAAGGATTTTCAATATCTAATCCCAAATATGAAAGGGAACAAGGGAGGATAGGAGATTGGGTATGTCTGAAGAAGGGTGCTCGCACCCAAAAGCTGGTAAAGTACAATTTTTCCAACTATTCAGTTGGTCTAATAAAAAATAGCACATTTGCCCAAATAAATTTCTTTATCAAGCAAAGGGGTTTAATTGTTACAAAAACAGAAACATTTGAATTTTGTATGTTAATTCTATTGTTTGGTGTCAGAAATGTATATTTCACCTTCTTGATAACTATGCCCTTCCTTTTAATGTAATTGTTCATGTTTTGGAGCATCACATTTTCCATTTGATTTCATAATTACTTGTTTTGGAAACAGTACGATAATTTTCATGACAGTTCGTGATTTTTGTCTCTACCACTATTTGAGACAAGAATTTGCAGTCTTATATTCTGATAACAAAAAAGAAAATACTTTGTTGATTATAACAGTTTCTATAAGAGATTCATTTTTCTTTAGTACAAGGGAAAAGATGAGGAATTTAAAAACTTACTATCCCAACTGTATTCAGGCTTTTTATGGTAAACTTTTTTGTTTTTGCAGGTGGTAATGGCACTGCTGAAATACTGGCCAAAGACTCACAGTCCAAAAGAAGTCATGTTTTTAAATGAGTTAGAGGAGATTTTAGATGTTATTGAACCATCTGAATTTGTGAAGGTTATGGAGCCTCTTTTCAGGCAGCTAGCCAAATGTGTATCCAGTCCACACTTCCAGGTCTGTACTTTTTGGGACTAGTTTGAAAGGAATTTTACATCATTAATTAATTACTTTGATAATTATCTGTTCTAAACATCTTAAAAATATGAGATTTAACAGTTGCTTAAACAGGTGATTTTTATACTTGATTAAAAATGGCTGATTTTTAAACATTTGTTTTACAAACAATAGAATATTCCTAAAGTGTATTCAGTTCTTTCAGGTGTTTACCAAAATAGGATCGTTTCAGGGCTCTGTTAAGCTCAGCTTAAGATCTCCCTCTATTTTTAGGCAGTGGAATACTGGAATTTCGTTTTCTGAAGTTTAACTAATCCTTGAAACCTTAACAGTGCAGTGGAAACACAGGAATAGATTTTTAAAGATTTTTAGTTGGTTTTCAAAGGTTTTGTCCATAATTGCTATATTGTACTGCTTTTAATTAGAGAAGACTTGTGTTCACTCTTTCTTGAGAGAGCACTGTTTTTCCCCTGTAGAAATTAATAATTTAAACTTCATATCCAGCATATGAAATTTTAAGTTCGTTGTCTGCTTTTTACTCTACAGTCTGATATCTTTCAAAATGCACTCTGCAGTCTGTCCATTTTTATTTAGGATTGATTACCTGACAAATGTTTTCAGGTAATCTGAAAGCCCATCTAGTGCTGCTGATACATAAATTGTGATTTAACTTTCCTCTTGTCATTTTTGGTGAGTATCTCAGTTGTCATCTGTCTAATAAGGTTTAATTGACTGAAAGAGTTCTTACTTTAATGTCTTGTAGGTGGCTGAACGAGCACTATACTACTGGAATAACGAATATATTATGAGTTTAATCAGTGACAATGCAGCAAAGATTTTGCCCATCATGTTTCCATCCTTGTACAGGAATTCAAAAACACATTGGAACAAGTAAGAGAATCTTTTACAAATAAAATATCTGATAATATATTTAAAGAATTTAGTTAATTCTGTTAATGCTACTTATCTGTGTAGAATTTTAGATTCAGACAATTGGGGTTAAAATGTCTTATCTTTGAATTGCCAGTTGTTATAATCATGTAGAATGACCATATTTCTCCCATGACATTTAATATGAAGATGAGTAAGGTTTACTACCATACCACTGCGAAAGAATATATGAGAGCATGGACTATAGTGCCAATATGCAGTTCATGTTAGCTCATCTATTCGTATACATACCACTTTTATTTTGAATTATCACATTATTTTAAGTTAATTTATATTACATGCTACTGTAGACAAATTTTAGTTGCTGACCTACACTTTGTTGATCCATGTGTTTTCATTGACGGTTTTTTTCTGTGCCCATGTTCAAATCTCGTTTTCCCTTATTCTTCGTATTTCTCTCTTTACTACATATTTCCTTTTTTATTTGCAAGTTACAATAGCATAGAAATTAAGCATGAAAGCAAACCTAGTCACTTCTGTTCCATGTACCTTTTGAGCTACTATGCTAATACTTGTGGTATGGTGGTTCCACAGCCTGCTGATGGCTGTGGATCAAGGACTACTGAAGGGCTGGCCTTGATAACTCTGCTATTAATCATAGTGAAAGAAATAAGGAGTAAAGAATATTGTTTAAATGAAAGATTACAATGACTAGATATAGGTAATCTTCACATCGGTTAAATATAATCTGGATTACTTCTTTAATTGTATTCTTTAAAAAAAAGAAACCATGAATAGTAAATATAGTTCATTTTCTGTCTTTTTCTCTCTCTCTTGTGGCCATCCATTCATTCTATCCTGAGCATGAGTGATGCCATAGTACCCAGTACAGCCACATTCTCACTGTGTACCTCAAATGCATGATGCAAAGTAATCGTGTAACTGATTGCTCTTTGGATCTGGTAATCAGTAACGTGTAATAGATTACTTTTACAGAGTAACTTAAACTTCCCTGGCAGGAAATGCTATCTACTGCAGGTGAAGATTTCTTTTACTTCATTTTCATGCTTTCTCCAATCTGTGTTCAAGAAAACAATTTTAAAGGGCCCCATTAAAATTGTGATTCAGTATTTTGTATTTTTCAACATTGTGTTAGTTGACTATACTTTTAAAGATAAATTATTTCAGTCTAATCCCCCCTACAGAATAGGAATATTTCTAGAATTGGTTGATAATATACATTTTTTGTTGATATCTTTATTGCCATCTTATTTTGTTTAATGATATTTAATCAAAATATCAATTCTTAAACTTCACAAAACCTTATTAACACACAATGCTACATAAAGGAGAGTTTTAAAATTTCTGAAGAAAATTTTCCATTATTAAATGGCAAATACTGCTGTAGAGTAATAAAAATGTGTTCAAAGGATTTATTTATTTAGTGTGTGTGTTAGCCATACTGTAGCTAAACTGAAACTTCCATTAACTAGTTTTGTTTTCACTTATTCTAAAATAATGTAATTTTCCAGTTATGTAGGCTATTGGCTACTGTTGACCAGAACAATAGATTTCAAAGTTTAAAGTACTCTGAGTTTCAACCCGAAGTTTTACTTATAGGACAATACATGGCTTGATATACAATGCTCTGAAACTCTTCATGGAGATGAACCAAAAACTGTTCGATGACTGCACACAACAATTTAAAGCAGAAAAGCTGAAGTAAGTGTCATATTAATGTTTAGTTTACTCTAATTAAGACAAATTTAAATAAGAGTTTAGAATATTTTTCATGTGAATTTGCTTTTCTCCATTTCTCCAGTACTGATGAGGTATCCAATTTGGAAATAGTTTTTTTTTATTTGCTTATTTTTTACATAATTGGACACATTACCATGCACTTTAGAGTGTATACCAGTTTAAATGCAGAAGATTGTAGGAAAGTAGGGCTGAAAGGGACCTCATAAGGTCATTTAGTCCAGCCTCCTGCTCTAGGTAGGATCATCTCTGACTAAATCTTCCCAGCAATGTGATTTTTCTGTTGTAATTGTGCTACTTTTAGCAACATAAAACCATTAAACAATCAAAAAAGCTAAGCAGCAATAAGGATAGTCTGCTTGTCATTGTTTTCTTGAGCCGTTTCGTTTCTCTTTAATGTTGTCCTGAATTTGCAACCCTTTTTTTAGCTTTATTCTCACATAGCAGTGCAGCATAGCTTTCATATGTACATGGGCAAAAACTGACTTGTTTTTTTTTGTTTTGTTTTTTAATTACTAAATTATACTTTGGCCTTTGTAGGAACCTGTTTAGATGTGTAATAGTCAGCTATTCATTATTCTAATAAAAGTTCCTTTACATTTGTATGAATTTTATTATTTGAATAGGGTAAACTAATCTATTGCTATTTTTTAACTTCCTTTTTTTCCAGAGAGAAGCTAAAATTGAAGGAACGAGAAGAAGCATGGGTTAAAATAGAAAATCTAGCCAAATCAAATCCCCAGGTATTTAGAAAAGATTAACATGTTCGTGTTAAAACATTTTAGTTTTTGTTAAATGTTAGTGGGGAAAACAGGTATGCAAGTAACCCTGGAAATAAAATAATTTCACTAATATTGTATGTGTAAGTTCTCCAATAAAAATGCTTTTAAAATTTGGAACCTTTCTGTTGTGCAAGTACTTATTTTGAATATAAGGGTTTCAAACAAGGTTGAAGTACCTGTTCCTTTCTTTTTTGTATGATGTACCTATATAATTGTGGTCTGAAAAGTGATTTGTTCAGAATTGCATAAACACAGAAGTTTCCTGTCTCTTGAAACTTTTTGTAAACAAATGAAAACGTAAATTAAAATAAGACTGAGACTAGGAGTATTTCTACCAAAAATAACTCCTGGTCTATGTCCTTAGTGATAGGGTCAGATTATTTACTCTCCCATGTCAAATGGACCAACATAATATTACATGTTCCTGACTGCTCTTTCTGCTTGGTGCTTCATTTCTTTCTGTTTTAAATTTTTCATAGCAATAGAAAACACTTCTGGCTAGGTTCAACTGGTGAATAGTCCCATGGCTGCATTCTGGGATCCTCGATCCTAATTTCAAGTTTAAAACTAAGTGAATGTCTGTTCCTGTTAAAGCTTGCAGCGGGCTTTATTAAGCCAAAGCCATTTCAATAAGATTTTTTTTTTATCTGTGCCATTTCTGGAAAAATAAATTTCAGTGGTACTCTGAGAACACTTAGCAATATAAATGAGACATTTTAGCAATAGTCACTTGAATGAGGTTACTATATTGTAATTTTATAAACAACCCATGAATTTCTGTGAAAACAGAAATACTTACAACTTTGGCAACAAAATTCATTTTATTTTGATGGATCTCTTTATTTACATGGATCACTGCCATGGGAACTTTCTTATTAACCTTTTGCTAATAAGGCTTATTATTATTAGTGTTAGTAGTATTTATATTATTAGTATAAGTGTTGTTGTTGTTGTTGTTATTTAAATGGCACCATACAAGCTCATTTAATGAACAGTATATGTTAGTTCAGAAAAAACTTGTTTTTTCTCACAAATGATAAGCAGTTGTGCATTGCTAAAGAACTGGAGTGACTTTTATCTGATTGGTACATAATTACAGTAATTGAAATGTGAAATTATGCTACTGTTCTTTAAAAGTCATGCTTTATAATTATGCAAGCTTTTTAAAGCTACTTAACATAATCACTGCACCTGATACTGTGCTTAGTCTACTTGAATGAAAAAATGAGTACATAATCAACTAGTTAAATTTAAAATTAGTTTGTTTGGTTTTTTTTAATGCTTTGTCCTTGACCACAAAAAAAAAAAAAAATCTACATAAGGAATGTGTGCTTGTGCTTAACCACTTTGTTTTGCATTGGGAACATTTTCTTTCAGAATTTGTACCTCTTTACTGTCCTTTTTTATATACTTAACTTCAATGGTATTTCTTATTGGGAGGTAACCCTAACTCTGAATATTATATAAATTATAAAAAAAAACAAAAAAAAACACATAGTATCTTTATAGCATACTTAATCTTTTTTCCACTTATTTTGTTCATTTTTCTGCTTTGTCATGTCACATGTGAAAGAATATATATGTGTTTATAACTGACCTATGCAGTAACTTAATATTTGTGGAAAAGGTCTCAATGGCTTTTAAATATATAAAACCATTTTCTTGGGTCTGAGTGGTTCACCTGCTTTAAAATGAAAATATATACTGTCAGGATATTTGCAGACTAGCAGTCTACATTTTAAGTTGAGGTTGTGTAAAGTTTAATTCATCAGGTCTTTTTGTTAGTAAAGGTCCCCCATACATTCCTATTTTATAGTTATTAAAAGAAGAGTTTATCAAAGTATGAAACTCTTTAAATCAGCCATAAGTTGAATTTGATCTTTTACTACTGAGTGGTTTTTGTTACAAATACAAGCTTGTATCTGCAGGTAAAACCACTATGCATTACAGCTTTTTGTTAATTTAACAGTGTACTAGTATAGTGAAATTAAGCTGTTGGCATAGCACAGCTTGAGCACTGGCAAAATAAGATTTTTTTTTTTCTTTTTTCTTCCTACTTTAAAACTCAGATTTATGCAAGTTCAAAGTGTCATTTTCTGTTTTACTCTCGTTTAACATTTAAATATGTTTCTGCCAGAATTGGATTTATTTTTTTCTCATTTTTCAGTCCATGCAGGGAACATAATTACTTCTAATACTAAAAACATATAATACTGAAGCTAGGCTCAAATTAGCAAGCATGGAAATAATATGAATTGCACCTAGTGTATAGGTTTTGTTGCTAAAAATTATTATTTTAACGCTTTACATTTTATTAGTACCCAGTATATAGTGACACCAGTGTGCTGAACAGTCCTGTTGCAATGGAAACAGATGGGCCTTTAATTGAAGATTTGCAGATGCTGAAAAAGACAGTGAAAGAAGAGGCTTGTCAGGTAGTACCATATGAAGACATTCAATTGCACTCTACAAACTTAATTTACAAATCTGTAACTATTAGTACAAACTAAATATATGCGCTAGCTTGTTTAAAAAAGAGCAGCATCTATTAACCTTAGAAAATAATCTTCAGTAGTATTTACAGCAATTTTAACTGTTGTATCCTATCACAATCAATTTACTAACAAAGCTGATACTTTAAAATTATAATGGAGTAGCCAGAAATCTAAATTTCCCCTTTGCATGTTTGGTACTTTATGTTTTGTAACATTCTCTGTACACTTCTTGTTTCCTTCCACCTTGAATTTTTTAATCCTTGTCACATTGGAGACGATATGTAAATTTTGAGGGCCATTTAAAAAGACAGCTTTTTGTCATTTTTCTCTATACTAGTTTACTTGCACTAAGGAAGAGTTTTAAGAAATATGATCAGATTTTGTCATTAACAGAGCACTTGCATCATCTCTCTTCTTTAAAGTGCACTGCATTAAGTTTGTGTATATCAGTGTTTTACATCTGTAACACAAACAGGCATAGAGAGAATAATCTTTTACTGATGTTGCCAGTTTTCAGTGTTGCCAATCTGGCCGACTTTTCCTTGCATCTGATCTCTTCTTTCTGTAGAAAATAGTGGCAGCATAACTGGCAGTTTCTTGAGTCCTCAGAATTTCCTTTGCCCTGAGCCATTTATCTGGTTCTGGCATGACCATATTAGTCACTGCACTGATTTCTTACCAATGGATGACAATATATAGTCTGAGCTGATTTCTTTTAGATTGTCAACACCTGGCATAGCTAGCCTTGATATTTGTTGATTCATTTGTAAACACTGGCAGGAGTGGATAGAGCTGCTTTTTATGAGGTTGTCTGTTGTGCGTAATTACTGTTGTGCTGTAAAAGTGCTCCCTTGTGTTGTCTCACAGGATACTCCTTACATGTAGAGCAGGGGTTGGCAATGTTTTTGGGCAGAGTGCCAAAAACACACACAACCTCAGCTTGTAAGATTTTAGCATGCCAGGGGCAGATGGCAGGGGAACTACAAGGGGCCCTATCCTTGTGGCAACGCAGTGCTGGCCCCTTCCCCACCGTCCACCCCAAGGTGTATGTGTACCCACTGCTGGCAATGAGCCAAGCCAGGACTCCACAGACCCCAGCGCAGCTGCTTGCAGCCTCCCTGCCTCCTGCTGCGAGGTGGCAGGTGCCTGCCCAGAGCCCAGGCCAGCTGTCGCAGGCAGCTGGGTGGCTGCGTGCAACTGCATCAGGATCCATGGAGTCCTGGCCCAGCTCACTGCCAGTGGCAGGTGCATGTGTGCCTTGGGGCAGATGGTGGGGAAGGAGCCGGGACTGCACTGCCACACCAAGGATCAGGCCCCTCACGGCTCCTCTGCCATCTACCCTGAAGCTCAGGTGCTAAGAAAAAAGCCTTCACGTGCCACACTCTGCCACGTGTGCCAGGGGTTGCCAATGCATGATTGAACATGCACTTGAGGCTTGTAGGAGGCTTTGTGAGAAGCTGCGTACTGCAGACTATTCAGTTTCATGGGACTTTTCATATAGAGAACCAACTGAAACTAGCTTCCAGGGAACCAAAATTACCCTTGTATCTATAGTTCATTTCCATTGTAAGACTGAAAATTTTTAAATCACAGCCACTGGCCCTGGTATTGGTAGCACCCTCTTGGGGGCCCCTGGTATTGGTAGCATCCTCACTGCCTGTCTCTTGTCCTGTGATATATTGTAGGGTTTCATATCTAATTTTGTTATAAGTTACAAGAAGGTGCTCTGTGTCTTTGGTGTATGGGAGACGCCAGAGTTGCCATTCTTGTGGACTCCTTTGGACTGTATATCTACTGCATCATTGCTGATGACCACTGGAGACTGGACTTTAACCAGGTGATGCCTTCTAGCCCAGTGGTTCTAAAATAATTGAATTTTAAGAGTGGTGGATGCCAGGGACAGCAAAATTAAATTCCAATGAAGTGAAGAACTATTGTTCTCTTGCATATCATGTGACCCCTCCTCCCCTTTTCCTAGACATGCAAGGTGCCACACAGAGCAGAAAATTGGGCAGAGGGAGTTTCTTCCTGTTGCCATCCTGACAGAAACCTCAGTCAGGATTGGAGCTTCATTGTGCTAAGCTGTGAGCAAACACAAGGAGACCACCAATTGATAAGATGACTGGATCTGTGGATGAGGGGAGACCAGTGGATGTGGTATACCTTGACTTTTTAGCAAGGTTTTTGATACAATCTCCCATAACATCTCACAGGCAAGCTAAAGAAGGTTGGGTTGGATAAATGGCCTGTAAGGTGGATAGAAAACTGGTTGAATCATTTGGTTCAGAGGGTAGTAATCGATGGCTCAATGTCTGGTTGGCATCCAGTATCAAGTGGGTCGGTCCTGGGTCTGGGTGTTTAATTTCTTCATCAGTGGCCTGGAAGATGGCATAGAGTGCACCCTCAGCAAGTTTGTAGATGACACCAAGCTAGGGGGGGAGTAGTAGATGTGTTGGGAGTAGGGCAAGGATTGAGAGAGACCTTGACATATTGAAGGATTGGACCAGAAGAAATCCCATGAGGTTCAACCAGGCAAGTGCAAAGTCCCATGTACTTAACTGGTACAAGCTGGGGGCTGACTGGCTGAGCAGCAGCTCTGCAGAAAAGGACCTGGGGGTTACAGTGGACAATAAGCTGAATATGAGTCAGCAGTGTGTCCTACTTGCCAAGAAGGCTAACAGCATACTGGACTGAATTGGTAGGTGTGTTGTCAGCAGATCAAGGAAGGAGATTATGTCACTCTATTCAGCTCTGGTGAGTACACATCTGGAGTACTGTGTCCAGTTTTGGGCCCCCCACTACAGAAAGGAAGTGGATAAGTTGGAGAGAGTCCAGCAGAGGGCAACGAAAATGGTTCAGGGGCCAGGGCACGTGACTTGGGAGGAGAGGTCGAAGGAACTGGGCTTATTTAGAAAAGAGAAGATGGCGGGGGGTGGGATTTGATAGCAGCCTTTAAGTATCTGAAGGGGGATTCCAAAGAGGATGGAGCTGGACTGTTCTCAGTGGTGGCAAATGACAAAACAAGAAGCAATGATCTCAAGTTGCAGCAAGGGAGGTTGAGTTTCCATATTAGGAAAAACTTTACTAAAGCTTAGGGTAGTAAACCATTGGAACAGGTTACCCAGAGAGGATGTGGACTCTCCATCCTTGGAGGTTTTTAAGACCCAGCTAGACAAAGCTTTGGCTGGGGTGATCTAGTTGGGGATGGTCCTGCTTTAAGCAGGGGGTGGGACTAGATGACTCCTGAGGTCCCTTTCAACCCTAATTTTATATGATGCCATTCCTTTGTGATGTAAATGAAAACTTTTCTCTTCTGTGGAATGGGTTACAGGACCTGGAGGTAGAGGTATTTGAAGGAGGAGGCCATGCAGGATCAGATTTGATCACCCTGTTACAGAAAAACATTCCCCATCTGACCAGGTGCCTCTGGTCTATCAGATGGGAGATCTGGCCTGATTAGTCTTAATGCATATGTCAACTTTGTCTATTGCTGCAGAAATCAAACACACCTGAGAAGAATTAATTTAAGTAGCTGGTTGAAAGAGTTTTATTAAGAAATGAGGAAGTAGCCAGGTCAATATAAGTAATGTAACACTGGGGAAAGATTTAAAAAAAAAAGGGGAAGGTAGGGTGCAGGAGAGGAGGGGAACCAGTCCTGTTAAAGCCATGGAGGAAGTTTTGAAGCAGAAGCTCACAAAGATTTGGTGCCTTCACCTCTACTCTCCCAGTAACTTTCTTCCATGGGAAATGAGTTGACTATCTTGCTGCAATATTTTCCCCAAAATTATGGTTGTCTTTCCAGTAGTCCAGAACTCCTTGTAAAATTTTAAGCTTGTGACCTTTGGGCTTGGAAAAATAGGGAAGTTTGAAGAAAAAAATATTTAAAAGCCTTTCTGATATTCAAGGAATGCCCTAGAGTATGTAAAGAGTACCCGATAAAATAAGGCCATTCTGAAAATGTTTATATTGAAGGGATTTAAATAACAGTGTAAATGGAACATTTAATGCAACCTGAACAATGCAGCTGTTGAAGTTCCTCAGGAACATATTGTTGCTTGGAAAAAAGAGAAGAAAATTTATAAGTTTTTTTTTTTTTTTTTTTTTCCATTTGACATTTTGCTTTTTTTACTTAGGATCTATTTCCAGAGATTCTATATTTGAACTGGATTTCTACCATTCAGGACAAAAAGTGGGTAGAATTACTTTGGGATTCATAATTTTTCATCATGGAAAAACAACTGGGTAAAGAAGTTGTGCAGTAATTAGCTTAATTGAGGGTGTCTGTATCACATTATGGGGAGACTCTCAAGTGGCTAATACAGTACTTGGAAATAAGAGCCCCGATAGTTTTCCACCTACTAGACACTAAGGCTACAGCTGCTTGGCCAAAAAATACATATCAGGCCTCTGGAGGCAGATCCTAGGGAGACGCATACATTTCTTGTTCCCTCAGTGGGGAATCGTACACGCCTCCAGACAGAGGCGTAGCAAGTCCCTGCAGTGTCCTGGGCAGAGCATGTTGACCACTGGAGAGTTGAGTGGGGGGAGGGAGGTCTTACCTGCCCCAGCTCTCTGCACTCTGTGGCTGCTGCTATAGTACCTTGGGCACAGGTTACTAGAGCTGAGGAGCAAGTTTGCTGCGTGCTGGCTGCATCAGGGGCACCAAATATAGTGTTTTCCCCCTCTTTCCCAATCGTCTGTGCTGTGCAGGCACAGCCCCACAGCACTCAGCCATAGATGCCAGGCAGCCCAACACCCTGTATACGAGGGGAGCAGAGAGGGGCTACCCCCTCGGTATTTTTGCCATGGGAGGTGCAGCTCTGTTCCTTGTCCTCCATAGATATGATACTGAGCTGCAGGAACCCCATGTGTGGCAAGTCTGCCTGTCAACTGCAGCAGCCCTGTGGTGCAGGCTCTCTGGGGGCTGTCCCTGGTACCCT